CAATTTAGAATCACCAATTAACCTCAACATGTTTTTGGACTGTGGGAGGAAGCCGGAGAACCTGGAGAGAACCCACGCTGCACAAGCAGAACATGCAATGTCCACGCAGAAAGAAATGTGAACCGCGATCTTCTTGCTGCGAGGCAGCGGTGCTGCTAACCACCGCTCTACCTTGCAGTCCTGTATGGAAACATTGCTACTGTATGTTTACTTAGTACTACAGTTCATACATGCATATATTTTTGGCTGATGTATTCTGTTGTTGTTCATGTTAAGTAACAATAAAATAGTCTCTGGCGCCATTACTTTCTTTGGGGCTCAGGGGCTAAAAAGTTTGGGAACTCCTGAATTAGTCGAGCAACAGAACATTAATCTGCAAGCTATTTTGATATTTGACTTTTGAAAGAATTTGATGGTTCTGGGTTAACGGTTCTTGCAAATGGGACAATCTGTTGCTTTATCTTGTCTGTGTAAATCTAGGAAACTTTGAAGGAAAATTTTCAGTGATGTTTTCTAGATCAGCCCTCACTTCATACTTCAATAATATCTCTGTAAGAGACGTATGGGAAAGCTTACTTTGAAAAACCACCCTGCAGCACGCCACTCAGTTGTTACAAGGAGTCTTCAGCCTATAATTCATCCAGGGGCTCAATAATCCATTGTGTAATTTTTGCACAGTGTTATAAAATATTAAAAGCAACAATTTGATCTCATATGTACTTATTTATCTAATGCAGAACTATGCAAGGCTCTCTTTAATGATGTTTAATGTTTAATGATAATGTTTTGGTGACTGAGAGTGCTGCCAGCGATGCTGACGGTTCTCTCCAATCACAAGCTGTGTTACTAGGTGGTGAACTGTGCATAAAGCACAGCACCGCTGAAGGCTGCAGAATAGTGTACTGTCAATGTACACATATGATTCAAGAGATCTTTGCTGTGTCCAAAGCATTTAGAAATGCTCTGCAGCATGAAAGAGTAAATAATGTGTCAGAATAGTTATTTTTAGTGTACCGCACTACGTGAAGACAGGTTCCTGCTTTCATGCTCACTTGGCAAAGTGGCACTAGTGAAAAAAAAAGAAATAATATATAAAAATGGAAGTTTTTATGAAGATTTTAATTGTTTAGCTTTTATCATTTTTTTTGTTTTTCACCTGAGAAATTGAATGATTTCTTGAGAGATTAAAATAGATTTTTATTTTGTCTTCCTGGTTTTCTAACTTTTTGATAATAGCATGTGATATTACTGGAATGCAAACATTTAAATAGTAAATGTGCTAAAAGAAAAAATCAGTTGCCTGTGCCTGCATGTGCCTTATAGTACTGAGTATATTCAAAATTTTTAATTCTTAAAGGCAGTTTATGACCCAGTGACAGAAAAAAAAAGGCTCAGAGGGTTAAAAAGGCATTACACCTCATGTATTAAACCTCTCTGGCAGATACTCAATTCAAAGTGAAAGGACAGTGCATGCCTGCCAAACTAAGAACAAATTAATGCCTTTCAAACCCTTTGTTCCATTGTCTCTTGAAAAATTCCTAGACTGTCTCCTTTATTCCTAGACCCAGGCACTTTTCTTTCTAACACTGTTTGCCATGCAAGTTTCCTTTGTGCCATGTATGTACACCTCCCTATATTTTCTAATTATTTCTTTGGTGTCAGTGTGACACCAGCACACAAAATGTACTGCTGCTCCATGTGAATGGCTGGTGTAAATGAATCTCTGCTGGAGTGGAGGAAGCTAGGTAGTTTCCTGGCTTCAGCCCTTCAACAGACGGGCTCTGTTGGTGCAGACAGCCAACCCTTGGCCCCTCCAACATGGTGGACAGACAACAGTTTCCAGAACATACCACAGTATGTGACGCAGGCTTTCGAACATTAATGATTAATGAGTTACATCGTGACAAAGGCAATATGTCGCTCGTAAACCAGATATAATTAGCTAATTTCTTCTTCCGCAGGGCTGAGCTGTCAGGAGGTCGTACTCACCCGCTCTCATAGATCCAAACTTCAGGAGGTTGTTTATTTCTGGAGCAAAACTGGACTTTCTCCTCCTCCTCCTCCTCCTCCTCCTTCTCCTCCTCCTGCTGCTGCTTCTTCTTGTTCTCCTCCTCCTTCTCTTTTCTGTCTGACCTGTTGTCATCTGCTGACGTCTGTCCCTTCCCTGTTCCCTCGTGGTCTCTGCAGTGCGACTGGCTGTTGTAAACCTACACTCGAAAGAGACACGGGCAAATTCACCAACTCTGCTCCAGCATGCCCAGGGAGACAAAAATTGGGAATTCTCATTGAACGATATGTTTGATAGCATGTTTGACAGCACATATATTTTTTCTTTCCATGTTGTGGGCTTTGTAAAGGTTTTTTTTTCTATGTAAATCATCAGTATAAATGTAGTTTTGTCAAATTTAGCAAACAATTTTCGTTTTTTTTTCTGATTTTTGTACCTCAGTGCCTTTAGTGGCTCACACCCTTTTTTTGTTATTTGTTATTTCTCAGAGTTCACATTTTCATCAGTTTAATCATTCCCAGAAGTTCTCTGGCTATGAGCAATTGTTACAGGCAGCCTTACAGACGTAGTGTCAGGTGTAATCAGTGGTCAGTGTTGTAATTACCTCAGTGAGGCAGGGTCTTTTGTTGTCCTCTTGCTCCACTGACTCAGGTGTCGGGACTGACATGGAGGATATCGTGTAGATGGAGGGACTGAGCCTCTGCTTACAGTGCAGCAGAGAGAGAGCTGTTTTGCTGGAGAGGCCAGGTGGGTTGGGGTCATAGCCGCTAGTAGACCACGATGAATACACTGAGGGCTTCTGTTCATCCAGAGCAGAGGGGTTTGGTTTAATGTAGTTCAAATAGCACCAGCTATTACAGGTGCTGGACAGCAGACTGGGGAACGATGGTCCAACATGTGAGACAGGAGAGGAAACACCTGGTAAACATGGCTGAGGCTCCCGTTTGACCTCCTGATTGCAAGTGTCAACTGTTGCCTTGTCAGCACATCCCATCTCCCTCTCCTCTTCTTCTTTTACCCTTTTCTGCTGCTGCTGCGACTCAGGAGGAAGCTCTATGCTGTTTGAAGGGGAAAGCATACGCTTGTTGCCCCCTGAGCCTGATAGTCTGAGGCCATCGTCTGACCACAGCTGAAGATCTGGACTCATGGTCCTGTGGTTTCTGTATTCAGCTGTAGAGACGGTGTGTGAGACAGCGTCAACTGCCTCCTGTGGCCTGGGGGAGGTGGACTGAGACAGCATGGTGTATATGGCACATGCTGGGGTCAGGGTGTCTGTCTGGAGACGCACCGCTACTGCTGGAGATGTGACTGGCCTCAGCATTTCCAGACTGGAAGTGATGAGCGGGACAGAGTGCTGTATGTGCGAGCGGCTAACTCGAACCTCTGAATAGTTGTCGTGTTGTAAGGGAATCTCTAGCTTGAGTCCGGTGGACATGGGGAGGTAATGGGCTCTGGCTGCTCCGGATGGACCATGTGCGGGATACGGCTGTGGTGCTTGAGGAGGGGGCTGCTCTGTATGGATGTGTGAGGCCTCCTCTTTTACTCCTACAGATGGGTCATGAGCAACTGGCGGTTCTGTGCTGCCCACAAGCTGAATATTTTGATGAAGTTTCCACTGAGAGAAGATCTCTTTGCATTGCGATCCTGCTGGATTCCGCAAGACTGTGTCACCTGATGAAGGAGAGGATGAGGACCTACTGCAGTACACAGAGGTCGGGCTTGTTTGAGAGGATCTGCTCGGGCTGTTGCGTTCAGGACTACGGCACGGGATGGTGCACTGCTCCTCCTCCTCCTCGTCTGGATCTCTGATAGCCGAGTGTCTCAAAAGAAGACATTTTCTTCTTTCCCTCCAGCCAACTGCTGAGCGCTCAGGGGACAGACAACTGTAGTCAAAAGACTTACTGCGGGTCTCAGCCATTAGGACACTTGGTTGTGGGTCATGAGGGGCCTGCTCAGATGCTGAGCGCCTCATCTCTCTGTGCTGATGCACCCCGGGCACTGTCAACATGTGAGGAGCTCTTGATCTCCTCAGTGGTGTTGACGTTGCTATCTCCATATCTGGCCTATTTGGCTCTTCAAAGGATGTGGAACGACTGGATGCATAGGATGCACTACTGTCCTGACTAGGGCTGCGGGGCAATGATATAGAGTCGAAACTGGATTCCCCTGAGGACTGGGCAACCTCAGCGAGACGTAAGCGCTTCTTCTTTGGAGGAAGCTTTTCTATAGGGAGCTGTGCGAGAGAGGGGCTTCTCTGTGGCCACTGAAATTCATCAGGTTTCTCTGAATGCTTTGCAGTGGAGGTTGGCTCTGTTGACGTCTCTGTACTCATGTTGGAGTCCTCCGTCACAAGTATTTCTGGAACCTGCACACTGTGCTGGCGGACCAGCTTTCGGGTTGCTAGTTTCGTTGACTGCTGTTGGGGTTGTTTCTGAGGCACCAATTGATATTCATCAGGAGGTGGAGAGGTCTTTGTTGCCTCAACACCTTGATTCTCATTGCACAAAGATTCCTGTTTTTCAAATGAACTCGTATGTTGAATGACTGAACAGGTTTGCAGTGCAGGCCTTCTGGGGCCCTCATAAGCTACACTGCTTTCATCTTTACACTGTCCTGACAAGAGGGCAGGAGAGGGTAATGAAGGAGAGGAGGGGTCATCGAATTCAAAACTCTCCTCTTTCCTTCTCTTGCGCATTGTTGATGCTCCTGCTCTAACTGCATGGTTAATTAGCTGTGAGCACTCCATTTGACTAATTACCACTTCATTTCTGGGATGGTGTGCTAGGCACAGGCTTTGCTTGTGTTTCTTATAACCTTCCCAATCTTTGCACCCAGTGCCACAGGCCTCACACTCGTATGGCTGCGGTTGGCTTTGCTGATGGTCAGGCACAGTGGTTAAGCTGTCAGAGTAAAATGAATGAGAACCCTCATGTTCCTCTTTAGTAAGTTCGGCACCAAGTGGGATTTCAATAGCAGGCTGCCGTCTTAGCATCCCGTAACGACGGGAAGTCTGTGTTTCAGACGGCTGCCGTTCATCAAAGGAATGACTTAGACGGAATTTGCTGGGGCCGCCACTGGAAGAGTCAAATGAACTAGCTGCAGATGGCATTGAGTGACTTCTCACCAGAGGGGCGGTAGATGTTTGGCCAGCTGGCTGCTCCACATTTAAGGATGGATGATGAAATTTTTCACATGGAACTCCCATAGTGATAGAGCCACTGTTTTTATAGCCCAGATCTCCAGCTTTCGGGCTATGAATAAATGCTTCTTTCACACATGAACTCTTCTGAGACTCCCCACTGTTCTTTCTGGAGAGTGAGAATCTCCTCGGTTTTACACTGTCAATTTTACTGGTGTCCACCACGGCCTCGTTGATGGTGATGAGTTTGGTGATGTGGTCAATGACCTGTTTCTTGGGCACCGTGAATGAGATGCTTTTGTCCTCCTGACCAGAGGGATGCTGGTTGTGTTGACGAGACATCCTCTGTAGGTGTCCGAGGCGTCCATATTTACCGAGGATGATCTCTGCATAGCTTTTGGCACTTGTGTTTGGTGGGCTGTCCTGTGACTGCTCAGTACTTTCAGAGCGAGAGAAATAGCCGGATTCTGTACTGCCTCTGCTACCTAATAGTAGAGACGATGTCTTTTCATCAGAGGAGTCTTGAGGAGCGTGTTTTCCTCTACTTAGACGCAGGGCTAGTCTCTTTTTAACTGCGTAGGAGTCATTGTTAAGTCCAGTGCAGTCTTTGGCCCTGTCTGTTTCGTGACTCTTGACTGAGGCAACACTGCCTTGTCTGTCGGCAAGAGAAGCAGCTGATGATAGCTGTCGTGTTTCATCCTCTGACTCTGTGACTTGCTCTTCTAGAGATTTTGGCTCCCCAAGTGCCAGACCTGCCTTCACCCGGTGGGTATGTGATTTGCGGTGTTTGTACAGGTTACTCTTGGTCTTAAAAGAAAAGCCACATGGGGCGCACGGATACGGCCTTTCACCTGTGTGGGAGCGAATATGTTTCTGTAGGACACTGGGCTTCGCACATGCACGGCCACAGTAAGTGCAAACATATTTCCCGGGCCTCTGAGGCTTACGCTCACGTTTCTGTTTTGGGGTGCCTTCCTGGTTTTCTGGTTTAGACTGGGTTTCGCTACCTGCTGTAGAAGGCAGGCCTCCTGGTGACAGACTAGAAACTGCAGTGGCTTTCGTTGCTGCCGTTGCCTCATGCTTGGGGTCCAGTGATGTGTCTGAATCAATGCTCTGCCGCTGGTGCCTGAGACGTTTGCGTTCAGGGTTCTGTCTTCTGGACTGTTTGGGCTGCTGCAGTGTGCCATGGGGCTTCGGGGAGCCGGTTTTCTGTTGCTGACGGTGCTGGGAGGGAGACTTGGGCTGTGGGCCTCGCCGAGGAGACTCTGGCTGACAAGGTTCTTGACCTCCGGACTGCTCCCCAGTCGTCAGGCGACTATGCAAGGCCTCCATAAAACGGAAGGACAGCCTCAGGTAGACACGTGGGATGCGTCTGCCTGAGCCAGGCTACAGAGTTAAAGCCAAATCATTAACTGAGTAATGGGTTTAGTGCGAGCGAATTCTAGCAACTTATCCCCTCTGCTTGACTGTCAGGCTTCATAATTTTCACTTATTCAAATTTTACTTCTTGACAACAGAACGCCATCAAATGTGGAACGGCGGCATCGAAGAATGCAGGTGTGATATAGTATGTGCTGTCGAGGAAGTCCTCTGCCATGCTGACCTAAAGCATCCCATCATGAAGCACTCAGCCAGTCTGGCTGCCACACACACTGATGCTCAACTGGCTCAGCTGAATGTTTGATGATTCTTCTGTCTTCTCAACATGAAGATCTGTGAAAACAAACAAGTCATTATATAGGGTACAGTGTATGCAATTCAACTTTGAGAAACAAATGACCCCCTGACTCCCCTGCTTGCCGAACAGGGATATTTATGTTTCGCGTGTTACATAACCACTCTATGTGTCATAACATTCATCTTTCACTTTCCCCCGGCTGCTGACTATTTTAAATTAGAATGGTTTATGTAATATTTTTTTGTAAAAAAAAAATAAAAAAATATCAGCATGCAGTAAGTAAAAGTGATGATTCTGCTAACATTCCCCGAGAGAGGCAATATGTGCACTGACTGTGACTGGAGCATTCCAATAACAGCATAATGGGAAATTGTCATGGTCTTCAGTGATTTTTTTTATCAGCCATACATTACTTATTTCAAAACCATAGACCACAATATCTTCCTGTTAGACAGCACCACATGACATAGCCCACCCACTCCTAGAAAACCAGCCAGATCCTTCCTGCTGCAAGACAGAGCAAAAAAAAAAAAAAAGATGCTCAATGAAGATTCCTTCAGTTTGAATTCCTCTGTTTAAAGAAGTTGAGCATTTAAGTAAAAATTACATCAGTAGCATATTAATTAACAATCTCTTGTGCTCCTTATTCATATTGTTGTCGTTTTTTTGTTGTCACATTTCTCCCCTTGTCGCCTTAGTATCATGGCATCACCTTTCTTTGCATGATTAATTACACTGGGGCTAACTTATGGACTGTGGCATGTGCGCTCTAATTAATGCCGTGCCATTAATGTGTCACTACACCTGCTTCATTACTTCTGAATTTCACGGGATCAACTGCGATTTCAGCTACCTTAAAGGGCCGAATGAAGGCGAGGGATGGCTGCTAGCTGTGAGTGCACACACAAGGTGACTCAGTGGAGATACTGAAGAAAATTCCCAATGTTGTTTTGTGCCAGCATACTGAAACAGTAAACAAGGCATCCCACGCACTGACCAGCTGGTTTCTACACCCACATTCTGGTGGAAGACGGCTAAGCTGCTGGATATTATCCAAATTACTGATAACAGGTTGATAACCATCTTTGGTTTAACTTGTGGGAACACTATACATGCCAGTACTGGATAAATATGGAACCAACACTCTCCTTCACAACAAAACTACGATATAGGTACAGAATTAGTGCAGAATGCTGAGCGGCATCAAGATCATAGACCTAACTGTGTTGCTGTAAGATTATGAAGTGCTAAATGTAGGTCAGTCAGGTAGTGTGACTGGACTAGAGCTGAACTAGTAGCGAAGCAGGTAGATCTTCTCGGGTGGAGTCAGCCTCAGTCGTCTTACTGAAAATAACTCAGACTGTTCAGAGCACCCACACACTCCACTCTGAAACTCATTTTCAAATGGATCGCTTACAGTACAGAACCAGCATCCAACATAAGTGCCATATTTAAAATCACGCCACGCATCTGCTCGTTCACTCCAGCTCCGGCGTTAACTGAACTCTTCGTTTACAGCTCACGCAGTGCAAGTGAACCTCACAGCTATCCTTTTTTTTCCCCCCTTCAACCCCTCTCCACACAGATCCAGTGTTCCCCCCGTCCTTGGCGCTCAGCCTCTGTTATACTCTGTGTCTGCTAGAGGCAGCGCTAGAAAACACTCGTCTAGGTGTAATGTTCCCGGTGTTAACATCAGACGGCTGTTTGCTGGAAAAAATTACTGCATATTTAGAAAAAACTGAATATCAGAGTCCTTCTATAGAAAGAATTAAGGGGAGCGCCACAGATTTTACATTTCAATGTCTGTACATGTACTTCTGCATGTGTGGGGAAAAAAAAAAAGCTGTAACTGCAGAAGTAGCTCTGTTGGCTGAAGACTAAAAGTTTTTAAATGACA